GGATGTTTTTCTCACCCCTGAGAAGACTTCCCTTTCTCACCCATCTTGGTGCCTCCCCTCTGAGCTCCCCCAGTATCCTGAGCACAGCCCTATTGCATTACCAAGGCCCCCTGTCTCCCTCCAAGCAGTCTGTGTGAGCTCCTGGGGGGCAACACCTCCATCCCCAGGTTTGAGTGTAGCGCCAGCACTGAGGAGAACTTCCATGGCCTCCTGAATTAAATGGAGGCAGATGAACCATAGGAAAGAATTCCTAAAGTAGAAACTGTGAAAGTCCAAAGGAGGCAATAGCAGATTTGACTACTGGATTATTCTGACTTAATAATAAAAACCTAGATACCTCTGTTGTTCTTTTCAGTGAGTGAAGAACAAAGAGTAAGTTAAATAAAATGATTTTTGGTCATGACTCAGACCTGAAAAAGCTAAAGATGCCCAGGGTACCACTACTTTGGTAAACCTGCCCCGTGCTTGCTTGATATCTTGGAGCCCAGGCAATGGCATTTCTCAGCTTCCCATAACGTGGAATGCCTCGTATATTGGGTCTTCTGAAAGTCAGACTCTGCTGGGCTGGACAGTTTGTGGTGACAGTCACAGCCTCATGGCTACCTAGTTTTTAGCCTCACTAATGGGATTTTCTCATCAACATCGTCTTAGCTAAAGCACAGAGACATGGGTGAGAACATAACTGAGACAGAGATGAAGTTCAGGAAGTCATCGTTGTTTACTTGATGTGCAGGTGCTGACTAGACACAAAAGGCTTATATGAAAAGAGCAATATTTGGGGAGCAGCTCTGTTAACTGCAGGGTTTTAGACTAAAACCATCTAGCCACTAGTATTAATCAGTGTGAGCACTTCTGTCCTTCACCACGCAGCCGTCCCAGCCCTCCCCAGCTCCGCGAGCTCCGCTGGCCTGCCTCTAATGAATACCTCCCTGGGATAGAGCACATTCCTGGGTTTGACACATTCTGCATTATATAATTGTTGGAATAGGAATGTTTGTTAAAAATCACCATTAATTCTTTTTTCACCGTTAAAATGCTATCTTTTAGAAATGTTTTGGAGGTCAATTCTACTAGTTAATTCCTTCAGACAGTTGCTAACTCATGTGGTAAACAGCTATTGAAGGCCTGCTATAAGTGAGGATCTGCATGAGGCCCTGGGCAGAGCGGTCAGCAAGGCAGGCAGTGTCCCTTTTCCCACAGATCTGTACAACCTAGTGGTGAGAGGAGATGGATAGACATGCGATTAATATTCATTGTTATGGGCCAAATTGTGCTCCCTCTAAACTCATATGCTGACGTATTAATACCTAGGCAGAGAATGTGCCTGTATTTGGAGACAGGACCTTTAAGAGGTAATTAAGGTTAAATGAGGTCATATGAGTGGGCCCATATCCAATATGCTCAGTGTCCTTACAAGAAGGGGACATTAGGAACCAAGGGAAGATGGTAAGCTAAGAGAGAGGCCCTCAAAAGAAATCAACCCTACTGACACCTTGATCTTGGAATTCTATGCTCAAAAACTGAGAAAACAGATCTCTAAGTCACCTAATCTGTAGTATTTTGTCATGCCGGTCTTAGCAAACTAATACATAACTATATACACATACTTCGTTTCAATGCTACAAAGAAAAATATTTAGAAGACTGGACAACAGGGTATCTCACCTGCTATGGGAAGGCTTCTTGAGAGAATACCAATTGAGATAAATTCTAAATGATAAGTGGGATAGTGTTGACAATAGCTGTAGAATGACTTATTTAATTGAAACACAATAATCATCACATAAATATCCTTTATGGCTGCTGATCAAGCAATGTTGTTAGAATTTCTTCACCTCTCCAGCTAGAGAAAGAGCGAGTTGGACATAGCAGTCTACTAAGCATGGGGAATCAACAATGGATTCGAATGGACTACTTAATTGTCATCTTCGGAGAGCCTGCTCTCTAACACTCACCACTCAGGGAACTACAGTGATACTGAGAGATTATAATGCGGTTGAAGACACATGATGGGTAGGATTGCTCATTCCTCCTAGAATTAAATGGGCTGAGCTGAGATGGCCTCTTCAATAAGCCATTTGCTTCAACTGAAAAAATTTCCATGGCACCTGGTGGGTTTCTGGATCTTTGCCAGTCGTGTTCCCTTTTGCCCAGGAATTCTGTTCTGTGCCTGGCGATTGGCTCTCGCCGTGGTATAATCAGCTGCCTGGTGGGAGGTCTCCGTGTGGAGACCGCCTCTTCCATCTCCTGGGCGTACTAAGTTGTTCCAAGACTCATTCCTAAGTGCTGAAAACTCCGCCCTGGGACTGACGCCCCAGTGATAGCAGAGCAGCATGTCTGAGGCTGGGGAGCTCTGAATGGAATTCTCTCTAATAAAAACCAAAAGTGGTTTCTCTGCTGTTTGGTCTTATTGTGCTTGTTCCATGCCCTGCAGTGACATAGACACATAAAAACCCTCATCTGTGAGGAAGCTTGTACCATGTTTAAGGACCCTTATCATGTCTCTGTCTTGTTTTCTCTCCACACAAAATAGCTCTAGTACTTCTGCTAATATAGCTTGAGTGCCTTACATATTCTGATAACCCCTTACCAACACACACACACACGCGCACACACACACACACACACACACGAGGGGGAGAGAGAGAGGCAATTATAGTGTGATTTAAAGAAGGTTACGCAAAAAAGTCAGATCTGAATCTTTGCCACCTAACTCTGTATGGGTCACAATTTAGGAAGTGGAAAAATATGGCCTTTGGCAAGGGGCTTGGCCATGAATACCCTAATCTAGATCACTTACATGGTTTTCAAAAGAAGACTCTAGGGTTAATGATTTCCTTGAAGATAACAAACAAGATTTCTCTTTAAGAACTTATGTGGACGTCTAAGGGAGCTTCAGCCATTCCAGACTCACTCCTTTTGTGATGAGGTCGAACAGAACAGAACTTGGATTCTGTGTCTATGCCGAGCACAGCTCCTCAGCCGCTCTGCACCCTGCCTCCGCCAGCTGCTGGAGTGCAAGCTCCAGGCCCAGACTTGCCCTCAGTGGGGAGTTTGCATTATGAGAAGTGCTGCAGTAGAAAAAGCAGACTTCAAGTTTAAAGTACTGAAACCTCTTTCATCCTAGTCTCATTCCCTAGCATTTTCCCATCAGAAAAATAAAAATAACTTTAAATGTAGATCACTTGCAAAATAATTATAGTAGTGCCAGCTTTTTCTTTAGCTCACAGTGTTTTACACAAAATTAAAAACACTTTGTCCTGATTCTCTAAAGAAACCAAGCAGGTGGTCTCCTTTACCTTTAGAGAATTTCTCTTTTTTTAGTAATTCAGGTTGGTTTGGAAAATACCAGACTCCATTCTAAGCATCTTTTAAAGAGTCTTTAAAACAGCAGCCATTTCCTTTATTAAGAAATAGGACATGGTACCTGTTGTTCAATGAACAGGTGTGGACTTGAGAGGTAGAGCCCCAAGGCACACAGTACCTGGGGAGACGCACTGGAGGACTGAGATTAGAAATGCATGCAGTCCGGAGACCAGGTGTTGGCTCATTAACTGAAGGTTTGCCTGTTCTGAGGCCTGAAGGGGATGCCAAGGCTCGCCATGCTCGGAGTCCTTGCAGGCTTTCTCCCTGCTCCTGTGGGGCCCCGCCTTCCACGCGGGGTTAGGGCACAGGGGCCACAGAGTGGGAAAGGCCGCGCCACAGCGGCCAAAGCTTTGGAAGCAGGTAGGCTCTCCCCAGTTCCTCACGTCACTTAGTTCCCTTAGTGCTTACGTGACACTCTTACCATGGAATCAACACTGAGCCTTTAAAAAGGTCTTTAGAAAGTATGTCCCATGCACTAAATAAATGGTGTGTGTGTGTGTGTGTGCAAAGTGTGTGCTGATAAGCAGATATGTACGACTTGCTTCACAGCAGTGCACAGCAGCCTGAGCTAAAGGCGACCGCAGCCTCTCAGACCACGAGCTCTCCACCGGGGCCGGCCCCGATTCACGCAGGAATCCGACAATGAGGGGATCACCAAGTAACAGAGCTGTTTTGGGAAAACTCAGTTTTTCACCAAAAATAGCCTATTTTCATTAATAGCCTATTGAACATTTGTCTGTAAATCTCTCATCTAAAGCCGGATTGCTCTGCATTTGAATTATTTAAGCAACTGGCAATATGAAAACATGAACGTGGGCCGCAGCAAGATGCGTCGTTAAGACCGTGAAGGTGGGAATCCAAAGGAGGGGCCTGAGGTTGAACACCGTCTTGGCCATTTTAGCTTAATTCTGATTCGCAGTTTGCTGCTGTGCATGTTGGCAAGCCACTCCCTCCTTCATGAGTGTTAGGGTTGTATTTTTTCATTCCATGGCAAGTTCTGGCTCACGGTCTGGCCCTATGAGCCCCACAGCATTGTTGATTCTACTCCCACGTCACCCTGGTGACATGGTGTCCTTGCCTTGTCCTCATGTGCACATGTATAAGGCTCTGAAGAAAGGAGGTGACAAAAATAAAAAACAAAGAAAAATACAACCGCGCTGTTTGTCTTCGCTTTTTGGAACATCCTCTCCCAGAACAGCTACATTCAGTTCCCTTCTATTGTGAGGATGCATTTAGCGTGCATTCCTCTCCTTGGTCTCCAGTGCAGAAAGCCCAAAATACCCGCAAAGCCGAGCACAGGGCACAGAGCTCCGGGGCAGGAGTGCATGAGCCAGACATCACCTTCTCGTTTTCACCTAGGTGTCAGGAACACCCGAGCTATTTTGAAAAACAGTCTTGAAATAGCTCGATTCCCTGTCCAATTAATACAGTGAATACAGCGTGGCGCTATTTTCTGTTTTCAGTGATGTACCATGTGTCAAGGTAGCCCCATTGCCTCTAAAAAATATTTGGACAATCGTCTTTACTTTCCAGTTTTCATGAGCCAAGATTATCTTAGGAGCCTGGGAAACAAGTGTTCTCAACACCGTAAGGGAGAGGAAAGCTGGTTTCCTTAGGTTGTTTTTCTGTCTTTTACCCCCCATGTAGAAAAATGCCAGCAGACACAAAACCTTAATCCATTTCAAAGAAAAATTAAAGANCAAGTGTTCTCAACACCGTAAGGGAGAGGAAAGCTGGTTTCCTTTGGTTGTTTTTCTCTGTCTTTTACCCCCCATGTAGAAAAATGCCAGCAGACACAAAACCTTAATCAATTTCAAAGAAAAATTAAAGAAGTTCACCTTTGCCAAAACGGGAAAAAGACACAAGCAGGAGACTCCTGAGACAAACTCACTGGTTTTTTGAGAGGCTCTGCAGCTCTGATGATTCCCCTCCTGCGGCATGTCGCCTGGCAGCCCTGCCCAGCCACCCTCACCCACCAACAAGGTTAATGGCTGGCACGTGCTTGGTACACAGGCCATGCCTGGATGCTTCAGAGCCAAGCGCCCCAGAGCCGGCACTATATTAAAACTGCATTTTTGACCTGAGGCCAACAAATCTCTGTACTCAAACACCTCGCCAATTAGACAGAAATTGCCAACTTACATTTTTCTTCCTCAAATAAGGAGAATTGAGGTTTAACGTTTATCTCTGCACGTGAAAAATAGTATGTTTCTAAGTTATTAACTCACCTCCATTACAGGAAATCTTAAAAATTTTATAAAAGTCCTGTTTCTGCATGAATTCACCTGGCTTTTATGACTCTGTGGGGTGAGGCCCTTTCTAGCTGTAGGTCTTGAGTCAGTATGGAAAGAAAGAAAAAATGCTAACTAGCTTCCTAACAGGTGCTAGGGAGTCTAGACACACTATGCTACTCAGTTGCTATCACAGTCCTGCGATGTAAGAATTGGCTTTATCTTGTATTCCAGGTGGGCTCTCAGAGGGTCCATGGCTTCTGCTGTCCGCGCCCTGCATGATTCTCTCGGCTCTGGGAAGGACTAGACTTACTGACTTGTTCTTAATGAACGGAGGCCACTCCCAGGGCTGGTCACAGGACGACCTTGGCTTTGTCTCCCCTGCCGCTTCTCTCTGCCTGGGCACCTCCCTCTGGGGGAGGGGCTGTGATCACCAGGCAGCCTTCTGCAGGGGCCACCGGGATGAGCATGCCAGCGGACCTTCTGAGGCCTGCCAGCAGCTCCTGAGCGAGCTTGGAAGCAGACCCACCCCCAGCTGAACCTTGAGACAACTGCAGCCCCTGCCAGCAACTTGATTTCAGCCAGTCTCACACCTCAAGGTTCCCTGGAGGCTTGAATCCTAGACACTGAGGCACCACAGATATTCACAACCACTAAACTTTGCTGTAATTTGTCCTGCGGCTTAGATAACTAACACACTCTCACCTGTGTATAAGACAACGTTAAGAAGCTTATCCAGGGCCTAAGAGTAGTGAGAAGAGGTGCCTTTTGAACCTACTTGTCTGATGCCCAGACCCAGGCATTTCTATTCCCAGGGGGCTGAGGGGCCTTTTTGTACACTTATTGGCCCTTGAGGTTGTCCCATACTCTGACCTAACCTCAAATATTAAGTAATGTCCTTTACAATTTAACTTAAATTTCTCTAATTAATTTGGATAACAAAACTCAAAGTACAGTGTGGAAAGGAAAACATTTAAATAGAATTAAAATGCCATGTGGTGTAATCCGGGATGGATGCTGGCCCAGGGTACACAGAGGAGGGGGTCTGACTCACACTGTGTACCCAGGAGGCTGATGGAAGGAATGTTGGCCCAGCAGCAAGTCTAAGCCCTGCTCAGGGCCTGGCAGGTGGTCTGACCTCAGTGAGCACGTGTCAGCTAAGTCAGCACACTGCTGCTGGGGGGACAGAGGCATCAGCGAGATGACACATGGGGGGTCACTGTTCTGTTGAAGAAATAGCAGAGTCAGAGTCACGTAAAATGGGACTTGTCTTAGATCTGCTCCATATTGCTGTACATTAGAGTCATACTGTGTTGCTATGCAAGTGAGTGCTCTTAAGCCTCAACTACTTGAGGACAATTTTAAAAGCCTTGTCATTGCCAGATGCCATACGTAGCACAACACACTTAATAACTTAAAAATGTATAGAATATTTTTAAAACTCACAAATTTTGCCCGGCCAGGTGTGGCTCAGTGGTTGAGCATCGACCTAGGATCCAGGTGATCCGGGGTTCATTCCCGGTCAGGGCACATGCCCAGCCTGCGGGCTCAATCCCTAGCCGGGAGCGTGCAGGAGGCAGCCGATCAATGACTCTCCCATCATTGATATTTCTATCTCTCTCTCTCCCTCCCTTTCCTCTCTCTGAAATCAATAAAGACATATTTTTAAAAAATTAAATAAAAAAATAAAACACAAATTTTGCTTGAACTGGAATTTGGTGGCTGTAAGTGTCGACAGCAGTGTGGCTCACAAGGGAGCTATGGACTGTGAAGTCGGACAAAGTCAGGATGAAACTGGCACCCTCGCTCCTTGCGGAGTGAGCTTGGAAGATGTCTAGCCTCCGAGACCCGTCCTTTCCTCACCTATAAAATGGGAGGACTACCTTCCCTGGACGAGCGTGGTGGAGATTCCACAGGACAAGGGCCATGTCTGTGGAGGGAGATGGAGCAAAGTGCTCTGCAAATGGTCTCCAATATGCTCAATGGTATTAAACTGAAAAAAATTTAGGAAATCTTATTTCTGCTTCTCAGATGAGAGTGCTGAGGATCAGGACACCGAGGGACTCGCCAAAGCCCGCGTAGCTAAAGCTGCTGCCCCTTCCGCTGAGAGTTAATTGTGAACGCTGGGTCATCCCCATCCCTGGGAGCGGATTCTGCATAAACAGAACCTCAAAGCATTTGTTGGTTTGGGTGAGTTAGAAAGCGAGCGCGAGGTTGCGGGCAGATGTACCTGTGAGGATTTCAGCCGCTCGTTCCGCCGTTCTCTGAATGAGCAGCCTCAGGGCCCCGCCCTCCAGGCTCAGCTGCAGGGTCCCGGAGCCCTCAGACAGCTCTGTGGCCAGCAGCAGACCGTCCGCGTTCCACGTTCGAAACTGGAAGCCCACCGAGAGCCCATCGATTCTGGGGGTGCCGGGCAGCAGCAGGTAGCTGCTGCTGGAGTTGACAAATGTGATGGGAACAATTTGTGGTTCGGAGCAGGAAAAAGTGACATTGCCCTGGAAAACAATAAAAATCAAACATGTAAAAGCCATTTTTTATTCTGCAGCCTGGCAGCTGATATAAACAACCACCTGGAGCTGACCTTAATTTCAGGATCATCCCACATTCAGCTGCAAGATTTTAAAGGAGAAAGTGCGTCAGCTTTGCTCATAGACACCCACCAGGTTGTTTTCCGCTCCTGTGCCAGGGATCACCACGCTGCCTGCAGAGGCCCTCGGAGACCTGGAGCAGTCGGGGTGGGGGTGGCGGGGGCATCGATATTTTTTAAAGAACCAGATATAAACATAGTTACATCCATTCACGGAATAAATCTGTGTTGTAAATCACCGATGAGCCAAGCACAGGGATGCCTTTTAAAGAGATACACGAGGAACCTCTGTTGCAGTGTGGAATGTGCTGAAGGAGGGAGGCAGAGGTTCCCAGGGGAGTGTTGGAGGAAATAACTGCAGGAGCATGCTTCCCGGCGGGGTGGGGCAGGAGGGCGGAGGGTGCCCAGCTAACCTCTTCGGCCTGCAGGAGGGTGTGACGCTCTGGAGAAACTAGCAAGATGGCATTCCTGGGGCCTGATTACAGGGAAGCTGACGTTTCTGATCACTGATCACTGAGCGGGGCAGGGAGGGCCCGGGACCATGAGGTGGTGTGCTCCCTGATGTTATCACTCTGACTTAGAAGCAGCAGGGGATTTGGGCCAGCTTTTTTTTTTTTTTTTTTTAATGTATCTTTATTGATTTCAGAGAGAGGAAAGGAGAGGGAGAGAGAGAGTCAGAAACATCAATGATGAGAGAGTCATTGATCGGCTGCAGCCCGCAACCAGGGCATGTGCCCTGACCAGGAATCGAACCCAGATCTCCTGGATCCCAGGTCGACACTCAACCGCTGAGCCACGCCCGGCCGGGCGGGCCAGCTTTTTAATGCTTTACTATGTTCTCAGAAACCCTGGGAGTGGAGGGTGGGGTATTAAGTGGGCCCCACCAAGAACAGGAAGGAGAGGAAGAGCACCATGCTCTGCACAGCGAGGACAGGGCCACGCTTGCCTGGGGTGCGAGGGAGTTTCGGGGGGTAAGGGCGGTGCCTGTGCCCACCCGAGTCACGCGGCCGAGTCAGTTCACCCGCATGAGGGGAAGGCAGGGGTGCCTTGCGAATTGTGAATAGGTGTTACATTATGAAAACCATTTGGAACTGTTTCTCAAACTCCGTAGCCAACCGCAGGCTGTTTCCCATCCTGTCATTCATCAGTTTTAGACACCAAACAAATCTCTTTCACAATGCAGCAAACTTATTCAGGTGAGCGTGACACAATGTTCTCATCTAAACAGTCACGGTCACATCAAGTTCCACGTAAATCTCTCCACGGCCTGACGGTTGCCTTTTCCTGATGTTCACCACACAGCCAGGGCCACTTATGCAAAAAAAGAGTCAGGAATTATGAAAGGAGAGCATCTGGCTGGACGGGCGGCCTGAATTCAACTCCCCGCTAAGGTGCCTGGTAGCAGAGTGGGCTACATAGTGCAGCTCTGCGCTCTAGAGCAGGTTAACTCCTCAGCCCCAAACACGTCATAGTCTGCAAAACCTGCCTAGGTCCCAAGCTTGTGTATGATTGTCTTGTATTTGTGAAAACACTCAGCCGTCTCCAAACAAACTTCCACCAAGAGCAGCCTCCTGTGGTTCACTCATCAAGGGAGGCCATGAGCATACTCTTGCATTTATCATTTGCACTCATTGCCTAGATGTTTTCTTCCCTGGAGGTTAGATCCCAGAAGGTAATTAATGTGTCAAAGGGTAAAGCTCCTGCTATTTATCAAAAAAACGCCCAGCATTTATACTGTCCAGCAGGAGGCTGGGCACCTCCTTGCAGACCCCGGGTGCTCTGCATAGTTACACCCCACTTGTCACTTGTTTAAAGAATGAGCAAAAGGGGCTGAGAGAAGGCAAGTTCCTTGGTTTCAACTGATTTCAGTTTGACGTAACCCGAGGGCCAGGTGCCGCATCCCAGGGAGACTCACTCGGGACCCCACATCCTATTGATGTAAAATCCAGTGTTTAGCTCAACCCTAGCTATTGTCCCAGTGGCCTCTGGATCGGCAGCCATGGAAGGGGGGCCTCAGGACATTTGGGGTCCAGAGGAGTTGAGATTTCCCCTATTTGATCCGCTCACTCCCACCTGACAGGCGGCCTTGGAGCTCCCTTTCTGACTCCCGCCACTCCACTGAGGTCTACTGGGCCCCAAGCACTTGTGAAACAGGCCTGGGGACACAGACATTCTTGAGGGACACTCAAATGTCCCTGGCTAGATTCTGGCGTCAAGGGCTCCAAATACATGTCTCAGGGGGTCTCACAGGTGAAGGGGAGGCTGTGCAGTGCCCCGCGCTCTGCTGCCCGGGGAGCAGGAAACTTGAAAAGGCATCGGGGTGTGTGCTGCCTTTAGATGGTGTCCTGGGCCCACTGCAGGCCACCTCCCCCACGCCTTTCCCCACGCCCCCTTTATATTGCACCTGTTGTCCCCGCCCTCATGCCCAAGGTGTCCCGAGCTCTGTTTCTAGAGTGCGCCCCTGCCGTGTCCCCCCAGCGCTGAGCCCAGGGCAAGCGGGAGGAGAGGGGATGGGTGGGACATGCCTTCCATGCCCCGTCTGGCCCAGCTCTCCCGGGACGTGAGTGATCCCAGCTCAGCTCTCCTGGGGTCACTTCTGCAGGCTTAGCCTCCTCTTTTGCAACCTGAGGCTGTTGAACTGGATTCTAAGGCTCTAGGGTTCGCACCGGTTGCCTCTTTCTTTGGGTACCTGACGCTGAACACTCTTATCCTTACCACCTTTGTTCACTTTGGGCAGGAAGAGGCATCTCTGAATCATTTCTGTTGCTCTCAGGAGAATTGTAACCAAGTATTTACATTTAAAAAGCCCTCGCTTTACAATATTTCGGGGCATAAGGAAGGAAACCCAGGCCTTTCCCCTACCCATTCTTTCTAGCTTCAGGGAACAGAGCGAGAGTTTCTATAAATAAAGATGTAAAAGTAGGAAGCAGAGAAGATGATACTATTGCATAGTTTTAAAAACAAAGCTGAATTTGTAAAAATAGGGTCTAACAACCAACCCATTGCCTATGCATTCTCCTCTCCCCTTTTCAGAAAAAGGGTCCTAAAATACTTTACAACGCGGATGCTAGGTCAACACTAACATGGCCAGGAGCTGCAGGGGCTACGGCTCTCTTGGAGATGAAGCAGTGAGAGAAATGATGGGCAACCCGCTGAGCTGGGAGCTGGCCCAAGGGCTGTGCCAGGGAAATGCGAAGAAAGCAGTGAGAGAGACTCAGGTTCTGAGTGGCGCCCTCCTTCCAAACGCATCCTTGACAGGCTTCCACCAAATCCAAAGTCAAATGCTGACTGACATTCAATACCTCCCCCCAAAAAAAGCCTCCTCCACGATGGAGGGGCTCAAAAGGGAGATATCACAGTTAGATGGGCAAGGAGCACCTAACAGAGAGAACTCGAATCTATTAAGTCTTTGCATGTGACCCCAGAGCCAATCAGATTAACTGTCAGAGCAGCTTCTCTGTGGTACCCAGGGGCCCGCTTCAGAAGATGCTGCTCTGCCTGAGGACACAGGACACAATATGGGAACTGCCTTCATGGTCTGGATGTGAGTGCAAGAGAGATGGGACAGGCTGAATTGTGTTAAACAGTGTTTTTCAAACATTCCTAAACATGGAGCCCATTACCACTTGTTCATGGGCCACGGGGTTGCTAGCCAGGCCTCAGCGTGGAAGAAAATACCATGGTTGACTCAACTAGAACAGGGACCTGCAGAAGTGAGGAGAAAGGCACTCACAGATGGCTGTACTGTGTTCTCTGACTGAACGCATGTGCTTGCTTATTTCAGTTGAGGTCATGAATGTACATGAAAAACTTTAGCCCTTAGCAGCAAAAGCTAACTGTGACAGAATTTCTCACCTAGGTGTTGCCTTATCTCTCTGCTAGGGGTCCACTCCCTTTTAAGATTTCTACTTACTTGCTGATCTCGTGTTGGCTGCACAGGCCATAGGCTATGGCTAATGGGCCCTTCGATGAAGACATGCTTATAGATGTTTCACTTGTGGGCACTTTTTTCAATCAAACTTTGGGCAGTGATGATAGCTACCATCTTTCTCTAGTTATCTCGATTTGGCAAGTGCATTCCTTTGGATTCGTTTCACTACCCAAACCCACCTACTGCCTGTTATAGTAATAAAGGCCACTTAGTTATTTTGTGGAAGACACCAGAAAGCTATTCTCAGCTCTGCTTTAAATCGATAACTTGAAAATAGAGAAGCTGTAGACAAAAGGCATGTGAGGAGAATGCAAGGTCAGAGGTCCCAGGATGTGCAGGGGACCTGACATGATTGGGATGCTGCAGGGGACCTGACGTGATTGGGATGCTGCAGCCTCAGACATGGGCCTGGCTCCTCAGGAGCTGCATCAGTCCCGGGGCTCTGGCAGCCACAACCTCACTACAATCACATAAAGTGTTTGCTGCACTTGCTGGTCATTGTTCCCCTGTATGCCCATCAGGACAAAAACCCTCCTCGTGCCTCTGATGTGTGTGTGGGAGGGTTTGGCATCAGATGGAAGGGTACCTAGACCAGAAATCCATCGGACAGGTCTGGGACCCAGGGGCTTTAGCACCCGGGCATAGGAGTCTCACTGCCAGATATGCCCCATAGAAAAAGAGGTAAAAGGGGAGAGGTTTAAAGAGTGGGCCACTCTGTGGAAAAAGGACTTGAGGTCATAGGTAGTGAGGAAAGAGTGACGAATTAAAATGAATTCACTGTAGTAAGATGCTAAATTACAAAAATCAAATAGGTTGAGGCTGAGGAGACAATTCTAGTCTTATTTTAACTAGCCTGGGAGGTCAAGGGTTGGACATTTTCAGTCCTGATTTAATGCCTAAATATATGTGAAATCTCCAGATAACACCCTAATTACCTCCTGAAGGACTAAACAAAGACTGTTTACTGTCCACCTGTC